TCGATGCAAAGGACAGCGTCTGGTGGGTTTTGTCAGCCCGCACGGACTGTCCCGACTCACCGTCGGTGTTTCGTGCCTCCCTCAGGCTGTTTCTGACCGAGCTGCCACACCTCCAGGACAGTTTTGTGGATAAGCTCTTGGAGCTGATGCCGCGCCTGTCGTCCTGTAAGCCGGTGGAGCTGGTGAAAATCCTGCAAACGACCCTGAGACAGAGCGGCCTGCTGCAGCTCAGACTGCCCGAACAGGTGCGGTGAAAACACTGTGAAGCATCACAGCACGAGTTTTCATGACTGAAATCCATACATGAATTTGTCTAATTCACATCAGCATGCTCGTGGTTTCACTCCTGACCCGGAGACCCAGCTGTTACCTCCAGTTTTAATCTCTCACATTCAAAGTTTATCTTTAAGTTTAAGTGATGAAATTATTAGAGATGGACCGATCTGATATTACGTATCGTGTTGCTCCGATACTGACCTAAATTACTGGATCGGATATCGGAGAGAAATAAAAAATGTAATCCGATCCGAAGTGTCACAAAATCACCTCACAAAACGCGCTACTTGGCGTAACCCAGCTCGGCGCATCGGAGCAGCATGTGTCACGTGATAGAGCGGCGGTTGTCTGCGAGACCTGTCGGCGTCTGTTGGAGCATTTGGAGCCTCGCTACATGCTTCCTAACCGCGGCGTTTCATCTCGGCGAAAACTATCCCAGAGAAGTAAAACAAGTGTGTGAGTTCATCCCTGAATGTTTGCAGAGTGTTTCCACGTTAAGCTTAACAACTGATATACTGAGCCACAGCTGGAGTTCCATACTGAGGTGAAAAGGAAGCGATTTGTCCCGTAATTCAGCTAGAATTAAAAAATAGACACGAAGCTGGAGTTATTCTGTCTTTGCTGCACAGTTGCATCTACTCTCTCATTCACTCCCCCTCCCTCTCCTGTTATTACTCCAAACATGAAACTGATCAATGATCAGCTGATCGGCTTTTCTGCCGCAAGTCCCGTCTTTCTTGTTTGTTTATCGCCCACTTTGTGCTAGAAAGAGGAGATACAACAATAGCAGCAGGTTTAAGCGTGATCAGCTGTTGTTAGCCTGTATTTAATATGGATATGTGGTGAGAGGGAAACATGAAGATGAAACCAGGAGA